ATGACCTCACTGATATGAGGAATTCTTAATCTCAGGAACAAACTGAGGGTTGCTGGAGTGGTTGGGGGTGGGAGGGATGGGGTGGCTGGGTGATAGACATTGGGGAGGGTATGTGCTACGGTGAGCGCTGTGAATTTGTAAGACTGTTGAATCACAAATCTGTACTTCTGAAACAAATAACGCAACATATTTTAAGAAAAAAGAAAAAGAAGAAGATAGCAGGAGAGGAAGAATGAAGGGGCGTAAGTCAGAGGGGGAGACGAACCAGGAGAGATGATGGACTCTGAAAAACAAACTGAGGTTTCTAGAGGGGCGGAGGGTAGGGGGATGGGTTAGCCTGGTGATGGGTATTAAAAAGGGCACATTCTGCATGGAGCACTGGGTGTTATGAAGAAACAATTAATCATGGAACACTACACTAAAAGAAATGATGTAATATATGGTGATTAACATAATAAAAAAAAGAAATTACTTTCTGAGAAAGAATCTAAATGCCAGCCTTGGCAATTGTGGCCTTGATTTTTATTATAGTTACAATCTTTCAGCCAAAGATGCCGTGCACAGCTTGTCCTGCTCCAGAAGTGGGGGCTTCACCTAGGATATAGAGTAGCCAAGACAGGGCAACCTCTCCAGCCTTTCCTGGTGCCCAGCCATTTATCCAGTGCTCACTTCTGCCCAGCACCCTCCCCGCATGCTCATGCCGATGTTGGCTGCCATGACTTTGAACAGGTAACACTTGTCCCCATGGAATACAAGGGAAAAATATCAATCCCACTGTAAAATTTGGCAATCAAGTTATAGCTCTGACATCGATGGTACTCCACCCCCCAACCCCAGCCAGGATAGGTAACGGGCTTTCTCAGCAGGGTTGGCCCAGGAGGTTGGGAGTGACCTGCCCCACGTCATCACAACAGGTGGCAGGACTGGGATGCAGGGGAGAAGGCTGATGTCACACATGCAGCTCCTGGGAAAAGCCTCGATGGCCTGTGATGTACGAGAAGCTGGTTCTCTCTGCCGCACACTCCCATCCTTCCCTTTCTTAGTGCAACTACCCTGGCCTATTTGCAGCAGGCTCACTCAGGTTCAGGGTGCAGTTTACACAGGAGCGGGCAGGCTCTGGGCCTTGGGGATCTTCTTCAGAGCATATTCCACTCACTGAGGGCATTTGTGCACATGCCTTTCTCCCGGTCCTGCTGTGTGTCCCAATCCTCACCCATGTAGTAGTGCCCATGTCCCCTTCTTGGCGTCCAGGTACACCCAGGACTGACTCTGCCCCACAGCCTCCCAGGCCCCTGGCAGACCTGGAATCTTGCTTCCTGGTCCATGCCTGTTCCCCCAGAGAAGGGGGTCTTTGGCATTTGTGGGATAAAGTCACAAAAGTGAAGTTCAGATAGACCCCCCAGGCCAAGCTGGATATGGAACAATGGCTGAGCCCAACCCCAGCATTGCAGGACTGCCCCCATCCTCCATCTGGCCCTGCCCATTATCTTCTAGAATTGACCATAGTGCAGTGCTGGGAGGGGGGCCTGCTTCATTCCTGCATGGGAGGGTCTCTCCAGAGTCCCTGCTAAGAATCACCTGCTCTCAGGGGTGTTCACTGCTCTCCCCTGCCCCTCTGTGATGTCATAAAAGGAGGGAGGGGAGAAAGGAAAATATATCAAGGGAGTCTCTCTCACCAAACAAAACAAGGTCAACAAAGAAACTTGCAAAAAGCAGTGAGAGGCCACTGCTGGGCTTAGCCAGGGGACCAGTTTTCAAGCCAGGAGAAATAAATGTTTCAAACACAAGACCTGCCAGAGCCCCAGAACCCTAGAAGCTGGAGAGGGAGGCTTGACTGCTGAGCGATGCTCGGCATGCCCCAAGGACACACATGGGTGTGAGCACCACGTTCACCCCGCTGACCCAGGGAGCTGCCTTCCTCTGGTCTAGCTGGGATGATGGTGTCAATGTGGTAATGCTGAAACCCTCTGTGACTGGCAGATCAACAAAAACCGGTACAGAGACTGTTGCTGCACGAATACTCTTCATTTGCTACAGAACACCTTTCAAAGCCTGGCTTCCCTGAAGGCACAACAGGGAGCATGCTGTGCATGAAAAAGGCCCAGGGACCGACCCCCAGAAGCCCTCACACTGGAGGAAGGAGGGCACGATTCACTGTAGGATGGGCCATGTCCTCCAGCAGAACTTCAGCTAGGGAGGAGTACACACGGGCTGCTGGAACCTCATTTTATCTGAATGAGACTGTCGGCAGAGAGAACCACCCCGGCTCCCCACCTGCTTTCCCAGCAAGTCTGAAGTCCTTGCCCCGGGCACAGCGCCTCCCAGCACTGGGTCCAGCCCACTGGCATAACCCCCGTGCCTGCTCAAAGGCAGAACTCCCAGCCTGCTTGCCTGGAGTCCATGGGGCAGTCCCAGCACGCTGAGCTGAGGCCTCCTGACCTCCCTCGTGGGCCTGTCCTAACCAGAAAGCACAGGCCCCGTGGCATAGCCTGAGCTGCACAGGCTTCTTGGGGTCTCCTCCTCAGCAGCCTCGCTGTGCTGCGTGTGGGGCTGACGGAGAGAGGCTTACCTCGTGGGACAAGTAGAAGGCGGCAATGCCCAAAGGCCAGAAACAGCAGAGCATGGAGAAGACGCTGAGGCCCAAGTGGTCCCTTGGAGGCATCATGAGGAAGTTGTCCTCACTCTCTGTGTCGCTCGAGTAGTCGCTCTGCAAGACAGAAATGGGCAGGGATAGGACAGAAGAAGAAAGCATTAACAATGGAGTCACCATACGATGCCCCAGACATGGGTGTCGAGCCTGGCATAGAGCAAACCCTCCTGAGAAGGTCACTGTTGTTATAGTGCAAGTATACTTCCCTAAAGAAAGGAAGCCCCTGGTTAAGGAGATCTTTATCAAGAACAAGAGGAGAAAAATCCCAAGTACTTGGCTCTTGGGTTGTTCCATAGAAGGTCAAATCCTACAGAAGGCCATTATTTCAGATCTTTGGGATCCAGGGACACACGGTGGGGATAGAGGTTTAATCTATACAAAGATGGGATGGGCACACTCAGAAGGCACACTCACCAGCATGTGGACTCCTCTCTTTATTCTAAGACTTCAAACTGGTTTACAGGGCTAGGCAGGGCCAGTGTGGGACAAGGGGACACTCCCTGAACACCCTTCATTTTCTTAGACTCTGATCCGAGTTAAGATGTTGCTGGGCCTAGAGTCCACCCTGGGTGTTTGTGCTCCTCCCAGAGAAGCTAATGGCTGCTTCGTGAGAAAGCTCCTCTGGGATGAGGCCACTTGGCAGGCCCACGGGCTCCTCCCAGCCCTGGCAGAGCCTCCTAGGGAGTCTGGTGCAGGGGTCGGGAACTGGCACAGGGATTTGTAAAAAGCAGCTCAGAAGACTCCAGCACTCACTGAGCAATGGGAACCGGGGACCAAACCTCCCTGCCAAAAGCTCCCTAGCTCCAGGATGCTAGATGGCCGTCGTCCCACCAGCACCTCCACCTCTGGATCCTGTGCCCAGAGGATGCTTTTAGTCTCAGGGATTATTCCATTTGCTGGGCCCCCATCCTGATTTTTCTCTCCTCATCAAAACATGGCACATTCAACGCTGACTCATCCAAAAACCAGGGCCAGCCTATCTCCGTGCGTATTTTAAGCAAAGACGGGATTGCATTTTACTCCAGATTTTGTTTCCTAAAAAAGAACCGGAGCATTTGTTCCTGAAAGAGGGTCATTAGCTTCCTCACTCCCTTTGCCAGTGCCAGAGGTAGTTAAACATGCAGCCTCCAGCTTCCTCAGGTGGCTTTAGGGCAGGGGGTGACCTGAGGCACTAAACACCCAGGAGGTGTGTGAGCATCATGCTGTGTGGACACCATCGCTGCCAGAACCACCCCCAGGAGTGCCACTGTGTACCTCCCCTGACATTCCCACGCACAGACAGGCAGATGAAGCCCACAGAGGACCATGGATCCCTCCCAATTTTGGTTAACTAAATGCACACATATCACTGCCAATCAGAGCCTCCAGTCGGCAAGCAGACAGCCGTGGAATTAATGGAAACTTCCTGTTAGGACTCTGTTTCTGTGTAGTTGAAGGAGAACAGGCACATTCTGAGGGTCTCATTCAAATCGCAAACAAGGACCCTCTCCAGAGGACCTGTGCTTGAAGTGGGCGATGCACTGTGGACACAGCCCCCCCTCCACCCATCCCACACTTGCACACATGCACACCCCCGCCCCCACCACCAATGAGTCAGGAAATGAGAGGTATCCCTTGTCACAGGGGGCTGGCTCCTTCCCGCCAGGCACGCTCTCTGCCCTGGGAAGACACTTGCCCCTCACGACACATCCCTCCAGGAGTCTGGGACCACATGTCATCCCCCACCCCCTGCCCTGACAGAGCCCAGTCTGTGAAATTTCTATTCTTTTCACTCTGTAGCCCTGCTTTCCATATGGTCTCTCAAACAATGAAGGGAAATGAGAATCACGGTCCCTATGTCTGTCCAGAAAGGGCACTGAGCAGCCCCTGGAATGCACAATTCACAGGTGAGACCTGGGGTCGGAAGGCTGGCCAGGGAGAGATACACGTGTGCCTATCTGCTGGGAAGCCAAAGTCTTTTGATCTCAATGAAGGAGTGGAATGTTCTGGCTGAGCCTGAGTGTCCTCACGGCTGTGGGTCTCCAGACAAGCAACCACACGCCAATGCACCCTTGGCCTCTAGACCCTCACTCTGGAAACAGGACAGTGTCCGCGCCATCGGGTGGCTTAGCCGCGATGCAAAGGGTCCTCTGCATGAGGAGCTGGTGAGGTCTGGGAAGGGAGGCACCTACGGTGACAGTGCCAGGGCAGGCCAGGACTGTGACCAGAGAGCCCCTGGGAGGGCTGGAGGACCAGGTATAAAAAACAGCCACTTCCTCTAGCCCTGGACTCAGACACGGAGCTAATGGGTGTCACACCAACTGATCAGGATGCTGCAGGTGGATGTGCTTGCACACGGCCAACAACTCTGTCAATGGATATTTTCGTTTCTTGGCTTTTGTGGGCTTTTTGTTTGTTTTAGTTTACGAAGAGTTTTATATACCTGCACTGGCTGGAATCTCAGGGCAACTCTGGAAATAGGTGTCGTTACTATTTTTATTGTTATTTCTGTTTTATGAAGGACAACGCTGGACTCGAGAGCTGTGTCTTGCCGAATCAAAGAAGTGCCCAGTCAGTGGCCACTCCTTCCAGAACTCTGTAGTGTAAGCTGTGCTGGACAGTAACCACTGCTAAAAGCAAACCCCATTTGGGCTCAATTGCATCTTGCCCAAAGGTGAGGTGTCTTCTCTGCCCTGCCCGCCCCAGGGATGCCAGTGACCGCTCCAGACTGGTCTGCTTCATGGTGGCTACAGGGTCGTCAGTGGCAGTACTGGGCAGGAAGAGCTCCCCCAGTCATGTGCCTTGTGAACTGTTGCCACAGACCACATAGGTATGCTGAGCCCCAACTTCCATTTTTGGAATCTGCCTAGAATTACACCACTATCCCCATGAAGCAAAGAATTAGATTTCAGGGCACTCCCCCAAAATCTTCACAGATTTTTATTTAGAAGCATAAGGGAACCACACTCTGTAAATTGCAAAGTTGTGGCTATACGGTACCAAAAATAATTAGTCAATTTTGATTAAAATAGAGTTTAAAAATTCAGGCAAATTACAGGGCAGACAGAAACAGCCCAGTCCATTTTATGTTCTGTCTTCCATAGGCGGCTGTTCTGTGGGTATAAGCGGCCGTGGGCATCTTGCCACCAACAGCAAGGAGAGGAGATGAGAGGAGGCTTGCCTGGGTGAGGCTGCGTAGACACCAATACACCAAATAGGGAAAACACACGCAAACACCAGCACCAAGAAATTCATCACGCACAGCAGCTGTTTCTAAAAATGGTCTTCATGGGTCGTCAGATTAGAGAATTGCAAGGCAAACTGAAAGCATTCCAAGGGGGCTTACAGTCCCTGCAGGGGCCCTGCTCTGCGGCGGCCAGTGCTGAGCGGGCCCAGGCAGAGGAGGGCGCTGTTGAGTCCAGGGGCACCTCACACGATGGGCCCATTCTACGACCGGTTCCATCACCTCCTCTCAGAGCAACAGCTCTTGACCCTGTGGGGTTTTCTTCATTAGGGTATTTTAATATAACAGTCATAATGCCAGGCATGATGCCCCATGGTTCGCACATCACAATTCGCTTGGCTGTGTGAGCCTGGGCTGCGAGGATGTCATTTTAGGGGTGCACAGCTGGGCTCAGGTATGTCATTTGGTGTCACTCAAGGCCTCACACATCCTCCTGCCGATGCCTCTGGGCCTCGCACTGCCCTCCCATTGCCCCCAGATGCTGCTTGCTCTTCTGGAGTGCCACTCTGCATGGCCCCAAGGAGAGAGTGGAGGGGCACAGAGAAGGATGGGACAGCCACGGCTCGAAGGCAGGGCTTCCCATGGAGGCTCCCTTTCCAGGAATGTAGGGGTGTTTGTTCTAGAGTGTTTTTAACAGCACTGTTTAAAAACAGTGAAATCACAGAAGAATTCTACATAGAATTCTATAGATTCACGGAAAATGATGTTTATAAAAACTCAGATGAAAAACTACAGTAGAATGTCAGAAATTAGATGCTTCTGGATGGTGAGGACATTGGTGATTGTTTTCTTTCTGCACTGAGACTGCTCTTCAGGCCACTTTGTAAGCGCTTGTTTGTTGAGCGTGTCGTTGCATTTGGATGGCTCAGTGGAGAATGGGGCAAGGGGCTGGAAAGAGCACCCCTGCTTCTGGGCTCCCTAGGGAAGCCTGTGTGGGAGGTGGGAGGGGGAGAGGAAGGGAGGAGACAAGAGGGTTGGGCAGGGGTGGGCTGGCAGCAGGGCCCTCAGCAGGGCAGCAGGGTAGAGACCATCCCGGAAAGAATCCCAAGTCCATGTATGTCACCCCCTTTCCAGTGCCAGCAAGGGCCAAGGAATTTGGGAGTTTGGAATTTGGGAGTCAGCCCAGCCAAGGAGCAAAGCAGATTATGAAGGCAGAACTTCAGCCTTTGCCCCAGTCTCTTTCAAGTATTCGATGCTTGGAGCACACGCTTCACAGAGTAGCTTCCTACTGCCCTACATGGAGACAGCCCAAAGCAGGAATGACCAGATTTTCCCCAGCAACGCTCAACAGCCATTGCTCCCAAACTCATGCCCTGGCTCATCTTTGGAGGATGAAACTATGTGCAGTGTCAGTAAAGTATCACATGTACTTCACTCTCTATTGTAATTCCTAAAACCTGGGAATTCAGTTATTTTTTTGTTAGTCAACTCCCCAGTGATCAGGCAGTTCAAAGAACAGAAATAGAAGGTTTCCTAGTAGATACACATTTTTCACTGCAACATGTTTGATTTTCCTCCAGTAATGACAATCAGTGTATTTGGTTTTGGGGGAAACATCACAGTGTGCATGGTATTGCAGGTGCTGCCTCATTTTTCACTTAATAGGGGGGTGCTTCTGTGCTGCAATTCATGCAGTGGGCTGGGGGCCTCCTTAAGGACAGTCCTCAGACCCCAAGTCCCCTGAATTTAAACAGCTCCATCTCTTCTTGTATGAATGTTGACTTCCCAAGTAAACTTTTATAAAACAAATGGCTCTCAGCCAAAGGAAGGGAGGAAGGATGGATGAAGGGAAGGAAGGAAGGAAGGAAGGAAGGAAGGAAGGAAGGAAGGAAGG